TTTGCAATCATGACATTGCCTCCACCAACAATTGGAAAGCCATTTCTAGTCCATGTAATTGCTGATCTCGGGCGAGACACTGCTAGACATGTCAAGGTAACATTTGCACCGTAAATATAAGTAGCAGCATTACTTGCGAGATTGACGGTAGTTAAGGGGACATCTTCAAAATTAAAATAATACAATAGTCGTATTTAATATTCGATAAATAGAAAACGTTCAAGTCCATAAATGCGTAGCTAGATATACATAATTAATGAAGTATAGAATAATCTAGAATTATCTTGATTTGAATCAGTTTTAAATTAAATATAATCAAGTCAGTAAAGATAATAACACATATAAAGTATTAAATACATACAATACACGTTTTCGCAGCGAAGACCAGTGTAATCTTGATTACACCTGTTTGTAGCAAAATAATATGATTAAGAAACGAGCGGTAACAAATGTCGGTCTGCAGGTGCAGCTAATTTAATTTACGCTAGAATGATTTGAGATGGTTTTAGAGGGCATAGTTTCTATATAGCAATAAAGGTATATTCGGTAATCGAAAACTTATGATATAAGGAATCATACGGCATGTTATTTGTGCAAATTATACATATGCGTAAGAATTTATTCAAGAGCTTTAGTAAGCTATACATGCATATCATACCTACAAGACGGAATACCATTAACGGAATTGCATTGACCGTTACCGTTGCACAAATAAGGTGAACATGTTACGTCTGCAACATTAACAAACAAATAGCATTGGACAGTATAAAAGCATTTCATAATGAAGATATACTAGATGCTATCATTTAATAGACAGCGTTGCTTAACGTACTGAGAAAAAAAGAATCTGTGAAAGAAATAACTTTAAAATGATGCACATGATCATAGTTAGTGTAAGATAAGATGACTCATAATAGAAATAAAACATACTTTATTAAGGATATTCGAAAGGTATAGCAAAATTATTTCTAATTTTAAAGGTGATATTTTGCAGAATAGAGTAGATTTTATGACTGCAATACGGTGGTTTTGCTAAAGCTGTAATAAATAGTGACGATTGCTTGATGAGTAATAGAAACTCGTCATTAGTTGTCAATATCCTTCAGAGTTACATTATCTATAGCAAAAATAAGGTTGCATTGTCTGGGTTTTACGCTGCATGTTTTGGTGTAATGATTAAAAGTCATCATTTTCTGAAGCTAAAGTGGTGTGGAAAAATCAGCAGATGTGAAGATGTGCTGATATCAAGTTGATTTGCATTGAATCGAACAAAATTTATGAAGCTTTTTAGTTGTAATAGTTTCAACTTTCGATACATTGCTAGTAATACCTATGAGCGTTAAATACATTTAGCAAAGTAATGAGATTTAATTACTAATGCAACATACTTATCAAGACAGGATTGCTAGTCACTGATGTGCCTGTAACTAACTGCTTGGCTGTGCAGCTATAAGTGCCAATATCGTTGAAGGACCGCATCATAAATGACAAAAATGATATCGATTGATAATAACTACTGCCTACAATTTGGGAGATGTTGTATTTGTTTCCAGATTTTAGTTGAACGTTGCCTTTATACCAAGATATGTCCGACAATGGATATGAAAGAGCTTCGCAAGTCAGACCAACATTTTGAGATAAATTGTATGATACAACATTTGATTTTAAGGTGACTATTCTCAGAGGTACACCTATTGTAACATCATAAGACGTCATTTTAATACGATTATCACAAGTACTAGAATCGTATTTAAGTAGTCACCATGACACAAAATGTAGAATTATTCTGGCGTTGTAAATAAGTAAGCTATGTCTGTTAGCATATTAGCACCACTATCAGTTACATCATGAATAAGCTTTAAAAATACGTACTTGTTCTTTCCCTTCGCAGTATGTTCCAGTATAACCATCATTACAACTGCTATTGATATCAGTGAACAGTGAAATTTAGCAATTGAAATTATATTAATACTCGGTAACTGTTCATAGAAATAACTTAAACGCTACGCCAATTAAGGGTACCTGCATGACGGCCTACCGTTCGCAATTGTGCATTGACCATGATTACTGCAAAATTGTGGTGAACAAGTGAATTCTGAAAAATATTAAATACGTAAGGCTGACTAAGAATAACAGTGATGAAGACAAATTATGACATATACCGAAGCAATAGGTTGAAAAGGACTTCAAATTTTAATTTTTAAATATTAAGAGTATTTAAATAAAGATACAATAACTTATTCGTAGTAACAAGACTTTATACAGTAATAGCGATTGAAGAACAACTTCACTTTTTCTCAATTTAAGCAAATTAGAAAGTCCTTTGAAGTTACCTATATTTATGACGTTACTACGTATAATTCTACCGTTCGAATCCATAGCATTGCATTCATATTTTCCATTATCTTCTCGCATTACGTCATTAAAGTTTAGTATCGATTTGGCAATATATCCAGACATGCTACTGGTTGCAAATCCAATATTAGCAGCAGCGATAACCTGAACATTGTTCTTGGTCCATGATATCGTTGCTAATGGATTAGAATATGCCATACATTGCAGAGATAATTTTTGGCCAACAAAGAAATTCGTGGCGTTTACTTGTAACGTAACCTGAGTTAAGATTATTTCTACAAAGGGATAAAAATCCGGTATAAGATAAGGCCATCGCTGAAGTGATAAACATGCTTAACGATTGGCGTGTTTTCTTTACCCAAACGTCAAGATTTAATTTTAAATTCCTAATAGATAAATAACTTCTGTACCCAGTATGTAAGTTAATTTTACCTTCTGAACATGTACTTCCATTCCAGTACCCTGCATCACAGAGGCAAGTAAAAGTTTTAGCCGGTTTCAGCACATCGATGCATGTTGCATTGGAATTTCCACAAGGAGAACTAAGACAAGCGCTAATCTCTATTAACGCAAAAAGAATGATCAGTGCTTTCTACATAGCGAAATAGAACATAATTCTTAGTTGATAAGCGAAAATGTAACGAATTTCCTTCAGCGTTTTATTATCAGTTAGCAATCCATGGCTTATCATACATATTGCATTAATTCACTGGTCTTTATAATATGATGATTTATGCATATAGTCTTAGCAATAAAAAATCAGATCGTTTTTCGAAATCAATGTGCAATTGTATCTTTTTGAAGCAAACTAGATAACTACGGTGTAATCGATTTTGCTTTAGCTTTAAAAATTGACTATTCTCGTATTAATAAACAACAGTTATAGTTTCATAGTTCAAGATTTGCCACTGAAATCGATCTAAATTTTTCACGTAGTGAAAAATCTAAAAATTTTAAAATCATTTACTAATAAATAATTACTAGTAGGTGACAAAGAACGCTTAAAGATTACAACGTGAAGACGTAGCTAAGCTGGAAAATCAGATGCACGAATGCATAACTACGGAGCGATAGTCTGAGTGGCACAGCAATATGTAATTCATCTTGCATAGTAATTTTAGCGATTTATGTGGAAGAGTATAATGCTATCTAAATAGCTTAACCCTCACCTGATTGACAAACGTAACTTGGTTGTTCGAAAATCACGAAAGCATTAAAAGAATTGTTAGTAAATCTCTTAGTTTATTTCAACGTGTATTTATATTCACAAAACCTGGAGTATAATTATTAATTTAATTGCCAGCGAACACACACCTAATAATAATATATACTTAATAGCAATAAGAACTTACTTGGGAGGTAACTGGATAACGCCAGTAATACTTGTATCTAAAGGTAGATCTATAAATATCCAAGGAAAACGATATTAATTACTGAAAAGCTAGATTTCATGTTAGCCTACGTTTTTATTATTTTATTTCCTATTTCAAACTTACCTGCACAGAATGCTTGAGCACTCATATTAGCAGAACATTGAGATAATTCACTTGCACCATTACTCTGGCTACAATTAGCTAGATTAGGTTCATTGCCTAAGCAATCAATCCGACCAATCAAAGTTTCTAAACGGCTAGAACCACAACATTGACTGCGCAACTGTGTTTCAGTAAATCCTAGCTGTCTACAAGCTACTTGAGCATCCTGGAATTGCCAATGGTTGGCACATACCTTCCCCCACTTCTTACCATCATACACTTCGACTTGGCCTTGATTATACATTATGGATCCGGTCAAACGAATGCCAATTACATTCGAGTCTAAAAGCGATTTGCAAGTAATATACAGATCTATTAGATATAAAAGTCCCTTAAATAAGTTATGGACTTCTACTTACAAAATAGACAGTTGTATCCACTGTAGCCATTTGGACATTCACACGAATAATAACCAACGAAATCTTTGCATACTGCTCTACCGCCGGCCATTAATGTGCAAGGGTTACTAGCGCATTCATTAATATCTACCGATTTAAATTCAAGTATACATGAATATCAGAGGATCTATTGCCTTATGATCTTTCAATAAAATACTGACTTAATTAAATAGAAAATTTATGCCAGCGGGGATAGATTAGGTAATAGTAAAACTTCTGTAACTTATCGATTTCAAGAATGTAATTTTGCAATTAGTCGTGTTATTTCTAGGGAAGTACTTTTTATAGCCTTGTACCTGTTTCGCAGTTAACTCCTGTATATCCAGTATTGCATTGACAAATATAGTTGTCACTTTGACCCACTGGCGTACATACACCATGATAATTGCAGGTTTGTGGATTGGTATCGCAGTAATGATCTAACAGTAGTAAGATCGAAATTCTTGAGCTTTAGTCAAATGTAAAGCGATTTAAAGTAGTCTAAGAAATCTTAGTTCATTGACTGGTATCGGAATAATCATAACTATTCAGCAGCACCATAACTCAATTAAACTAATAGATGATAAATTATATATCATCATTCATTTTCCTAACTTTTTGTAACAATTAACAAATCAAATATCAGCAATTATTGCTAATGCTAATAAGGTTAATGTTTACCAGATTTATGATTAGAATTAAGAAATAAATAGTTATCGGAAAAATAACTAACTGTTGCATTCGATGGTCACATCCATGTCGTGTGTACAATTAGAATTAGCCGGTACATTCCGTAAGCAATTGAGAGGTGTAGTTTCGTCGCCATTACATTGCAAATTATCGAATAAGATTTTCCCTTTGCCACTTCCGTACATCGATGAAGAATAAATAGTTGTTACATTGCCATAACCAGCCGCTCTGCATAGCACCACTGCAGCGGTAAAATCTATGCCAGTGTTACATATAGTTCCCCAATAACCATTCTGGTAGACTTCTACATAGCCAGTACCGTTAATGTTGCTATTGCCACTTATTCGGACTGCCCCATTCGGAATAACTCCGAATTGACATCTATCACCGTAATATCCAGTCGGACATTGACAATAATAAGACTCTCCATTTAGCAAAGTATGGCATGTTGCGTTATTGGAACACACGCCTGCATCACACCAATTGCCTTGACATTCAACGCTAACAACCTCATAATTAAGGCAATTGGAACTTCCCCATTCTTTATGTTGGCACTCGGATAAAGCCGACTCATTGCCAACGCAGACTACATCATCTAGCCAATAGTTATTCATTTTGCTACCGTACTTGGAACAACAAGCCCAACTTCGAGCATTTACAAACCCAAGTTGTTTGCAAGTAACATTGGCTGCTTTGATGTCAAATTTATCATCGCAAACTGGACCCCAAGTATTATTGAATTGTACTTCAACATTACCAGTGTAAGGATTTGGTCCTCCGATTAGCCTTATAGGAACCACCTGTGCTACTGAAGAGTTAATTGAAAAGTTAATATGGTGCCGCTCATTAATTATTAGTCATATACAATTAATAATTTAAGTTTCAAGAAGCATTAAATGACCGGTAAATTTTAATTTCAAGATTAAAATACAAGATAATTTAATTGGTTGAAAATTACAGTCTTCGCAATTCTGTCCAGTAAAACCAGCTACACAGTTGCAATGATAATTCCCCGGAGAGTCATTAATACAGTCTCCTCCATATTTGCAAGGTGATGAATAACATGGATCATCTGACATCAATACATCGAGAATGGTTAGTGCTAAAATATCACCAGTAAAAATATTACATAAGCAATTAAAATCTATGCAGTAGCCATCAAGTACCTGTACATTTAAGACCAATTAGCTCTGTATAATCACAAAATAATGAGACTTGCGTATTTAAATTGCAGTCTAAAATTGATGTTTCATTTCCAATGCATGTGATACCAGCTAATTTCGTTATAAAAATTAGTAGATAGACAAACAATTAATTCGTTATTCTCAACTTTGGTGTATTTAAGATATATAGCATATACGAAAATGCGGTATGCACTAGTTTGTCTCAATAGTTACTCGTTGTTCGTATAAAAGGCAATTCTAATTATGTACGCAGCAATTCTAATAATTAAATTTTATGGTTGCGATAAACCGCTACTTTACAGAAGCATTAGCAACACGCTATATAATTTATAAAAATTACATCATTCATATTAACTGTCGTTGTTTACAGGTGATTTCCTAATGAGTCAATAGCAATTAACAACCGTAGAACTTGTTGTCGAAGATAAAACCAACTTACAATATAATATCCTTCCTGATGCAGGACCATAAAAGCTATTTTGATACACAGATTGCAATACTGGATGGTTCAGCTTTCTACAAACAATTTTGGCCGCTGCATCGTTAAATGTATACCTATCACATACTGTGCCCCATGTACCATTTTGATATATTTGTAGGGTTCCAAAACTGATATCATTGTTTCCCTGCGACGATGTTAGCCTAACATCTCCATTTGTAGCTCCTATAATTTATTATAATTATAATTTATTTTAAGGAGCATACTGGCAGAACTTATTACTATACAAGATGCTACTAATTAATTCGAATTATTAGGATTAAATTACAGACTTTCAGAACAATTTCTTCCGTGAAAGCCTGGTGGGCAATAACAACTGTAGCCATAGTTATGGTCAAAGCAAGTTGCGCCGATACCACATGGATTGGTGCTGCATTTCAGCTCTGTTAATGCGTTTGATATAATACGTTAGATAATACTTTAGACTATAATTTCATTAAAATATTAATTATTATAACAATGGAAGAGCCAATAAATAACTTAAAGCTTAAATGCTGCTTCATGAAAGCTTATTGATTGCTGAGGTTACTTAATTACCACAAGGAGTTAATTATAATTTTTTATACCGTAATTTGTGGGATATACTCATGTTAGCAGTCATGTATATGAACGTGACCGTATAAAAATGATAATAATTCTCTATATTAAAAAACTATTACGTTATCAGGAAAACCACCATTACGCATTATGTTAGCCAATGAAATCTTATTTATCAAACTGTTACTTTTCGTTTTACTTGCTAATGTACAACTAGCATAATGCTGGATAATAGCCAGCACATTGCTAAATATCGTGGCTCCAAGTACGATGCAAAATATATCAAAATAAGCTTTTCCAATCTTTTATACCACAACAATAGAATAAGTAAGTTATTATCAGAACTAATCTAAATTTACATAAGAAATAATACAATACTAGTACGTATGTCTTACTTGTTGAACAATCAGGGCCAGTGTAGCCAAAGTCACAAACGCAAATATAATTATTGATATTACCATTAACTAGCGTGCAGGTTCCTCTAAAACTGCACGGATAACTATGACAGGCATCATCTAGATTAGTTTAACCCAGTCAAAAAGCATTAGTTAGCAGAAGTAGCCCTTAACTTGGCACATTTGTGAACAAGAATAAAGAGAATTATAATAGTTATATAAAATGTTTTACTTGCGCAGGAAATTCTTACAGCATCATTTCGATTACATTGTGCTTGATTGTATGGCTTCAAGCTACAACTTGTTAACTTAGTTTCATTACCAACACAATCAACATCAATTGGCCAGTAGTCTCCTGAGTAAGTTCCGCAACAATAGTAATTTTTTACATCGTAAAATCCTAATTGTTTACAAGCTACCGTTGCTTCTACTTTAGAAAATCCGTCATCACACAGCGCTTTCCATTCATTATTATTAAAAATCTGCAGTACTTTAGTAAAAAATCCAATTTCTTGTAATCGAAGTGATCCTTCAAGGACTAAAATTTTTGAATTTAAAGAGCTATTTTTTATTACCTTATTTTTTAGTTATCATTATAGGCACGTGATAAAAACTAAATTAAATTAAAATGAAAATTAATTATCGGTCGCTCTTATGTCACCTACCGATTTCACAGTCTTTGCCTGTATACTGGGACGTACATTGGCAAAAATAATGTGATCCATCAGCAATACAAGTTCCTCCGTTTTGGCAAGTAGGCCGCTGACAATTGCTGGCTATAATTTCATTATTTACAAATACTAATTAAACTACCGAATACAGCTCAGTATAATTTAGTAAGTAGATCGCTAACAATCATCGGTTATAATGAAGGACAATCACAGAATAACTAAAACTATAATGAATCAGTTCCATAATTGCCGGATAGTAATTAATAATGCCAGTTAATTAATACATTTAGGAAGATTATACCAATACATACAGAATTTATAACAATTAGATTCTTAGTAATAATGGAAGAAGCTAACAATTTAAATCGTACAAAATCTATTTAGAGCAATACCGAAGAAGAATTACTATAACGGGTTACTTACTGCTACACAATATGCTGACATCATTAGCATGGGTACAACCGGTAGCCACTGTATCAACAGGTTGCACATTGCAGGTTCTAACATTAAATTCATCGCCTTTGCAATTGGTAGACAATATCTGGGTAGAACTACTACCTCTACCGAAATAAGCACTTGGTAAAAACCTTGAAAAAGTAAGTTTTAGCTGGCGACAAATGGCTATCCCGTCATTAATTGTAGCCAGTTTCGCACATAGTGTTCCCCACTGATTGTTGTTATAAATCTCGACTCGACCTTCTGTTGCATTGGCACCATTGACTAGGCGAACATCGCCTTGTAAAGTGGGCCCTATTGATTAAATTACAAATAAATTGTATCGGTAAAAACGGTATATAATCATTGCTTTAATTCGCATCTGGATATTTTGTTCATTTTTACCAATATAATTTTCACACAAGGCTCCCGAATAAAATGCTGAACAAGAGCATTTATAACCATAAAATTTTCTAACGCAGGTTCCTCCATTGTAACACGTTATACCATTGCATGGATTGAACGCTAGATAAGAGAGAGAGCATCATTATAGCATTCCACTTTCCGTAACTGACATTATTTCATTCTGCTTTCCGTAACTGACATTATTTTAAATGCTAGCCATATCTTCATTGTTGATAACATAAAGAAAGTAGAAATTTTGATATACTTTGTAGTATTACTTTTATTCACTTATTTACTAACATGTACTGCAGTAAACTCCAACATCATCTTTGTGAGTACATATAGATGATACGTTTGTTGATTCATAAGAGCAAGCAATCAAGGATTGTTCATAGCCTGTGCATTTGACATTAACCAAGCCAATCATGCCGGTTCCTGAATCGTAAAATGTGCCGTAGGAAAAAGCTTTGCCCCAACCTCGCTGCTGACAGACGACATTAGCAGCTTCAATAGAGAAATTTTTACTACAAACTGTCTGCCAACTGCCTTGAAGGTAGACTTCGATACGACCTCGCTCGGCATCACCAACAGATTGAGGAATGATATTTACATCACCGTCTTTAGCTGGACCTGTAAAAATTTTTAGATATAAATTTACAAGAAACATTCATTACTAAAAGTTCTTTCCGGTAAGTGTGCAAGTTCAATAATACTCGTACACTCTACAAGTATCTAAATGACAATTTATTAATGTAAGCTCTTATTACATTTCTATAATTTCATTATCTATAGCTGGTCATGTACTATAGTTTTATCATGGCTTTTTCCCATAGATAAGTACTACTAACCATATACACATTTTCTAAACATCAAGACGTAATTTCCGTCATGCAGACAAGTATTATTATGCATTTATTTTAACCGTAGTGAAACTAAATCTAAACTAGCCCTAATAACTTCTGCAAACTGTATTACGTAGAGAATTAAGATCTACGCATAGTACTATTAATCGAGTAATTGTAATTACCGTTTTCACAATTGATTCCAAAATAATTCTGCGGACATTGGCAGGTATAGTAATTTTTAGGAAATGAGCTATGGAAATTAGTGCATTTACCACCGTTCATGCATGGATTACTATCGCAAACGGATATGTATTGGCAATAAAGACCATAAAACCCTGATTGACACTGACAATATTGAAAATGATAGGTTCTATCATTTACGACAGTCGTATTGAATTTACAGTCTCCATTAACACAATTATTAGGGCTACAAGTAGTATCTAGAGTTGAAAAAACAAAAGAGAATTAATTAAAAAGAATAATCAAAATTAGCTAACATGAATTCATAAACTCACAGTAACATATTTTCAAAGGCTACAATGCAATTGAGTACGAAAATAAATGACTAACTTGAACAAGTGATCCTTGCACGACTGCTGCATTTGTTCGTATTTAAACCATAAGTGAAATTACACTGAGAAATACTGGTTTCCATGCCAGTACATTTTATGTCGTATACCCAAATTTTTTGATGGTGGTTAATATCAGAATAGCAGCATTGGTAATCTGTCGAAGTAGCATAGCCTAGTTGCCGGCACATGACTTCAGCTTCATTTGCAGAAAGTTTACTATAGCAGAATCCTCCCCAAATACCATCATGATAGATCAACGCGCCTCCTTTCGTAGTGTTACCACTGATTTCCATATTTCCCAATTTTAGTGTCCCATCAGGCGGTGTAACTTTTAATGGGTGAAATTACAGACGAAAAATTATTACCTTAGTACATTAGCATTAGCAGTCTATAGATAGATTGGGAGTTGAATATGTGCATCGTTAAGCTAGTAGCCGATTCATTAATTAGTCTAGACATTGCAATTTGATTATATTACGAAGGCACGCAGCTAAAGTTGAATAAAAGCATGTACAAACTAGCTTTAATTAATAATGAACTTGATACACTTTTTCAATTTACAGTAAGTCATTGGCTGTACTGGTCTGTAAGTGTAAGATTTTTAGAGAGCCGAAAATATAGCCAATGTATATGTATATGAGAACTACAGCAGTTATCCTTAAACTGGAGGGGATCTCTGCTATTACGAATATCGACCTTAACGATTAAAAACGGTTACCGATAGGAGATTCGCACTTGCTACCAGTGTAGCCATCCTTGCAGTAGCAAAATCCGTTAAAACCTTCACTCTTGCAATATTTATTGTTAAAGGCGCATGAATTCACGTCTGTATTTCCACAATAACTGCCATCTTCATATGGATCATTGAAATTTGGGATATGTAAAATATGCAAATTCATTTAATTATTAATCATTATCTATTTAGTAATTAGTAAATAAATGTTGTTACTTACCATAACAATCAACATACAAATCTTGAGAATGATCATTACAATTTGAAGGAACGTTATACCAGCCAGGGGTATTGCAATGAGCTATACTTAAATCGTTGGTTCGACAGTCGACATCAGTTAATAAAACTGGACCGTAGCCTGTAAAATACGTTGCTTTAGCTTGGTTAGATGCAGCCGAATTATACCCCAATTGTTGACATATATGTCTGCCAAATGATGATGAATAACTCGGACGACAAATCGTTCCCCAAGTACCATTATAAAACACTTGAACGATTCCCTTGTATACACTTGTGCTAGCTAGCCGGAGATCTCCATCTTTTGCAGTAGTTCCTATATGCCAAACAAACTAAACTTATCTTGTGTACTGCTAAAGCGAATACGTATTCATAAAGGACGTGCGTATTCTTTATTAAATGAAGTAGCCTTTAAGTAACTTCCGATGAACTAATTACGATTATTAATTCTAGAATTTCCAATCTGTACCTGAACAAGCTAAACTTAGATCTCGTTCATGAGTGCATCCACCCTGATTAGTTGTAGTTTTGTATGTACAATCCTTGATTGAATTTTCATTGCCAACACAATTCAGTTGATATAAATCGGCACTACTATTGGACATACCGAATACTGACGTCGGGAATGAATTTGCAAATAAGTAACCCATCTGTCTGCAAATAACTCGCATGTCGACTAATGAAGTGGTATTTATGCAAACTGTAGCCCAGCTATTATTAAGAAAAACTTCAACGCGTCCACTCATTGGTGATGTGCCATTGACTAATCGAACTGATCCCAGCGTTGGAACTACAAAATGAAAGCCGAAATAGATGCATAGAGGGATACCCATTAGATTGAGATAGCAAGTTATAATAATTAGATAAAGCTTAATAATTTAAACAACAGAAAAAACTTACAATTTGCATTTTGACAGTTTTGTCCAGTAAATTGACCACTACAGGTGCAATAATATCCGTAAAATCTATTAAAGCATGTGCCACCGTTGAGGCATGGATTAGATGAACATGGATTCTTGGCTGTAAATTTGATATGAGGGAAGTAATACATTATCTAACGCAGATTTAATTGATTTTGTTACAACTCAAAGATGGATTCGATATTACTTACTTGAACAGTAAACACCAGCATAGCTTGAAAAACATAGGGTATTTTTGGAAGGATCACTACCTAGACAATCATAGATGGAGAACTCATGACCTGTACATTTCATATTTCTCATTCCATTCGATGTTGGCGGTAAGCCAAAAGCAGTATCTTTGGTGGTGCTTAGTGCTCCTGCAAAACCAAACTGTTGACACACTACATGAGCGTCAAATATAGTAAAATCACTGGCGCAAATTGGTTTCCATACGCCATTATACAAAAATTGTGGCCGTCCAACATTAATTTCATTTGGTTTGCCATCGATGATTACTAATGAGCCATTAGCAAATGGTCCTGAAACAATAAATGAACTATCGTGAACTAAAATATCATTGTATACCTATAATTATGCTTTAAGATTTTACGTATTTTATGACTGCTACTATAAAACGATTAATTGAATAATGAAGTGTATTTCATACCAAGTTGACATCTTTTTCCTAAATATGAACTGTTGCACTTGCATGAAAAGGAGGTTTGACCAACTAGAGAGCATTCTTCATTATTTTCGCAAGAGTTAGGGTTACAAAAGTTTCTGTACTGACAGAGGTCGCCGTAAAAACCATTCGGGCAAAAACATTGAGTAATCGTTATGCTAACTCCGGAAACCATGGTATGCTTAGGACCACAAGTTCCGTTGTTTAAACATGGATTTTGTTGACAGCTTACGTCTGCAAGATTTTATCATCTCCTTAGAACTCTCAAGAATTTTATTGAGGTATGACAATTTGCAAGCAGATAGAACATTATTAAGAACACATTGAAGGCAAAGAATCCTAAACCTTTACCGTAATAGCTCATTTAACATATTTCTAAAGAAACTTTTGCTGTACTTACTAACGCACTCCACCCTGTATCTGTTATAGCAGCTATAAGTACCCGTTCCATAAACATAGGAGCAATCCGCAATTGAAGTTTCGTTACCATTGCAAGTCATAGTATTAATCCAAATTTTTCTAGATGCTGAAGAACTATCGCAGCAGTAGAATTTCATAGAACCCGTTGCATAGCCAAATTGCTTGCATGCAATTACTGCTATAGCTTCGCTGTTACCAGTTGAACAAATTGATCCCCAAATACCATTATGAAATATTTCTATAGCACCTTTAGCGATATTAACTTGGGATGGATCAGATACTTTATAATAATCGTAAATTCGGACTGTGCCTTCTGTAGGTAGGGTAGCTATAGCTATTATTAGAATAAAATGACCATAATTAGTAGAAATGCATCAAGCCAATCTTAAGAAATAAATTTTGTGTTACTGCATTTATCGAGGCAGAAATGAATAAGGAAGAATCGAATGGCAAGCACATAGATTCAAGTAAACAAGAAAGATTAAAGTATACGTATGATGTAAATCTTGATATTTCACCGAAACATAATTTAATTTAAAGTAATTTCTACTGAATGCGTCTTAAAACTAAAAGTTGAAGGCGTTATGATTTATTTATAACTAGTCTTTTTCAGCAAACTTTATTTATCTTCTGTTAATTCTTATAGCCTTTCACAAACTTTGGAAATTACCATCGTTCGCCGTATATATCGCACTACAGACCACATCAATGTACTATAAGACCTAACGTTTTCACTTTATGAGCTTTCGGTTGAGATACAGTATAGACTATTCCAGAAAGTCATCAGTTACGGTATGCAATATAAAACTTAATTCTACGTCAACTGTAGATATTCAATGCAGATGTCAAGGTATTTGGGACATTCAAATACCTCACTATAATTTAATTATTCTCATTCGATGGTTTGATCCAAAATGGGATTGACAAGAAAGAACGGATACGAATTTAAATAATAAATATCGCTAGTTTGCAATTGGCAGAACAAGTTTTACGAAAAAAACTGTAGGTCTGCAAGATATACTGAAACGTTATTATGAGATATAGAAGTAGAACAGAATAAGAAATACGAATCAGCCATGCTGCACACTGCACAGTATGATTTCTTATGACAATCTATAATACGAATAGTTACCGATAGGAGTTTCGCAATTTTCGCCAGTATAGCCAGTTTGGCAAACGCATACCGTTG